CAGCGTACATGTGTGAACTGGGGCTTATAGTGTAGCAACTGTGCATCTGGCATTTCATTCAAGCTTTACTCAAAGGAAACCTATATCTGTCTGCATTACTGAGTATTGCAAAAAACGTTTAAAAGCAAGCACTGGTGACATGACATAATAGATGCATCTGGTCGGTGTTCAAGGAGCAGGTATAGACAGCCAATGTGGAAAGACAAGGCTTTTTTTGTTGTCAGTAATATTTTGTACAGTAATATTTTCCATAGTAAATAATGTTAATTAAGTTCAAAAGTACATAATGTTTACTGCATAATCTGCAAAACATAAACTTTTTTTTGTCTTAGTGAACATCAAAAGAAAAAAAAACTCATTCATCTGTTCATCATTGCACTGCATCAAGTCAGCACTGAGTTTTTGAGCTGTTAAAGGGGAATTATCTTTTAAATTTACATTGGTCCGGCTTGGCATGATGTAAGTATCCATATCTGATATCCAAAGGGCTGTTGTGGATGCTGAGAATCACTGTAGTAGTCCACGCTACATATAGTGATAGCCACGATCTTCTGGCTGTGGCTTTCCCTTAGCTGAACACAGGGATTTGCTCGCTTGGCTCCACCACCACTCAAAGATCACCTTGTAGTTTTTTCAGTGATTGGATGAGATGTAGAGGAGGAGGATGACGAAATTTGTCAAGTCACTGAAGGAACCATCATGTGCTCTGATGAATGATTTTTCTAAATTTCTGTTTAAAAGAAATTCTAAATGTGTATGGCTAACTATATCCAAATCCTCCCGCAATTGTTCCTCACATGCTTAAATTATCACATACAGTACTCAACTGTGTTGTTACAACTGCAATAATGTAGTTATAATCACCAGGCGTTTTCAGGCTACAGTTTGAAGGTGGACAGCGGAATCCCAGTACATGTAGTCTATCTGGGCTTTGCAAAGGCGTTTGATACAGTCCCCTACAAGCAGTTAATTTAGAAACTAAGATCTATTGTCACTGAAAAAACTGTATGTATGTACATGGGTAGAAAACTGGTTACCGGACCACATCTAGAGGGTATGGATGAACGGGTCATTCTCAGATTTGACCAAAGTAGTGAGGGTCCAGTCCTGGGGCCAATTCTGTTTGTACTATTCATAAATGATATTTTGGTGGGAATAAACAGCTCACTATCGGTGTTTGCTGATGATTCGAAATTAGGTAGGGCAATACGTTTGCAACAAGGGTTATTCACAAAAGGGTGAAGAGTTTGGAGAAGGCAGGAGAAGTGTACAATCTAGGACAAAATAGATGAACTGGAAAGTGAGCTGACTTGGAGAATTTTTCCAAATCAGCTATGTTGTCCTAGATTGTTCAATCTCCTGTCTTCTCCAAACTCTTCACCCTTGTGTGAATAACCCTGATAGTATCACTGCAGCAATACCTTTATAAAGTTGAAGAGTAGGTAGCAACGTGGCAGATGAGTTTCAGTCTAGACAAATGTAGTCTTGGGAGCAAAGAATTTGCATGCAGAATACACTTTTTGGGAGGTGTTCCGCTGGCAAAGTCGGAGATGTAGAAAGACTGGGGGGTACTTATAGATAGGGATGAGCCGAGTGTTCGATTTGAACATGAGTTTGAATCGAACATCGGCAGTTCGAGCGTTCGCCGAACTTTATGGGATGTTCGCAGTATGTTCGACTGCGGACATTCCATAAGGCAAAATGCCCTCTGAAGCTCTGATTGGTTAAAGTCTTGCATCTGACCACAGGGTCTTGCATCTGACCATCAGGGCTCAGTATTGAATTAAAGCCATGATTGGGCAAAGTCATGATGACTCTGACCAATCATGGCCTGCCTATCAGATGTCGGTAAACTACACAATTGGGCGGAGCCAGCTGTGGCAGCTAGCCCCGCCCACTTGTGTATGTTTTGCCGGCATCTGACAAAATGCCATTATGTGGCGGGAGCGGACGGGACGGCGGGTTTTAAAAAAATTATTTCTCTTTATTTTGTATTGTTCTATTTTTTATTTCGGCGGTTAACGGGTGTTTGCATTGCACGGGTCTTTGCTGCCCGTGCGTGCCCGCTAGGGGGCGTGCACGAGCAGAAAAAAATGCCGCCTGGAGATGCAGATGCAGCAGTGCCGTCCGTCCGTTTTTTTACAACGGGCGGACGGCAACTGGTTAAAGGGATACCCTGATGCAAATAAGCCCCCTTGCACGCAGACCCCCACAACCACGGAGTCAGGGTTGTGGGGATGAGGCCCTTGTTCCTATCGGCACGGGGGAAACCTTCCCAGTGCTGAGGGCATGTGGACTGATGTGGGAGGGGGGGGGCGCTCGCTCGTCCCCCCCTTTCCAGCACTGCCAAGCCTATGCTCGGATCAAGGGCCTGGTATGACTTTAAGGGGGAACCCCACACACTTTTTTTTTTTGTTTTTGTTACATTGGGTCCCTCCTAAACATTCGTACCAGACCTTAAGGGCCTGGTATGACTTTTAGGGGGAACCCCACACACTTCTTTTTTTGTTTTTTTGTACATGGGGTCCCTCCTTAATATTCCTACCAGATCTTAAGGGCCTGGTATGACTTTTAGGAGGAACCCTACACAGTTTTGTTTTTTTTAAATTGGTCCCTCCTAACATTTCTACCAGAACAAGGGGGTGTTCGGCTCATCACTACTTATAGACCACAGACTCAGCAATAGCAAGCAATGCCACGCTGCAGGCAACAAAGCAAGCAGAATGCTATCTTGTATTAAAAGAGGGATTTATTCAAGGGATAGAAAGCTGCAATATATTACCTTTTTGTTCTTCTACTTTAATGTGATTTTTTTTTTGCTTGTTATTTGGCAGACAATATTACAGGCTACAGCATTGAATGCTTGAACACAAGCCATATCTGGTGGACATAACGTTCTCCGCTGACAGGTGTTTGCTCTGTACTGGGCACCTGTCCATCCTTCCTGAACTGACCTTGAAGTGCGGCCAGCTGTTTCCTGCGCATCAGGAAAGGCTATTCTGTGAACGAGTTTAAATCTGCATACTCATTGCTACTTCTGCTTCATAACATTTTAACCATGGGCTATCTGCTTCATAAAGTAAAAGCAAAAAGCAGTGATACATACAGTACATGCCTACAGTATATATTCTTTCTGTTTGCATTTTTTCATAGTCTTTTAAATCTTTATGCATTCATTTATTTGCATTGCCTGCTATTTATGCTAAAAGCAGCAGAGCTTTGTTTTTATGCTGTATTCATTACCTAACTGATTATTGCTACTAATGCTCATGAAAAATTAAAGAGCAATTCCAGGCAACAAATGGAGTTAGTCATTGATCTAACATGCGGTCCAGGAAATGTTCCCTATGTACTAATACACAGAGGGGTAAGATTCATCTGGGATGTGTCATTTTAAATGGATTTTCCTTGAACAGGATATGCTGCTGCAACCAAGGTTCCCATCGCTGAATATTCTGTATTCTATACTTCTCTGTAATGTTCCTAATTATGTATCTCAGGCAAATAGCCAAAAATACAGCTGATTCAGGTACCCCTGGCGGTCAACTTAGACTGGTCTTGACCCTCTGCAGACTGCAAGGCAGTTAAAGCAGTAAGCTAACATTTAAAAAGAAAACAGCTAGCAGGCAGGTTTGTACGGTAGAAGAATCTCTGTAGAAGCATCTGTGTTTAATCCCGGTGTTCTATCGAAAGCTCCAGTTTTTTACACAATTGGATTTACCATGTTGACATGTTTAGTACTTTTTTACTGTACTGACTATACCCAAATGCAATTATAGTTGCGTGTTTATATTTTTACAGATTCTTATGGGCATATTGTCTAAATACCACATATTATTTTAAATCTAAACCACATTTTTAGAGTACAAAAATTCAATACATTTGTATTAATTTATTTATACCTTGCATTTTTTTTTGGTGTTCTTCCAACCCTGATGAAGAAGGGTATTTGCAACCCCTAAAATGCATTACATCTTGTGCTATATATCGATTTTCAACTAATAAACATATTTTTAGACCCTATGAAAATTGGTGTGGCATGTACCCTGTGCACCTATACATTTTGGGGTTTTCCCGGGCTTCTCCCTATGTGTATGAGCTATCTTATCCAGAGCATCATGCTCCATGAATGATGCTCTTGTCCTGAAGAATGGACTAGAAACAACCAAAGATCCAGCCCCCCATACCCTAGGAATAAAATCTGCACAGGGGTTCTAATACTTTGCTACTCTATCGAAAACTAAAAAAAAAATGTATATACTGTACATACAATTAAGGTAGCCATACACTTTACAACCATCGCAAGACCTTAGTCTTGCGATGGTTGTAAAGTAATTTAAAAAACTTACGAGCTGCCTATCTTGGACAGGCAGATCGTGTTTGCGATCATCGCAAGCCCACCCCCCGGAGGGGCGGGCTTCCGATGACCGCAATGCCGAACGGGCAGTGTGCGCATGCGCACACCGGCCCGTTCGGCATTTGTCTCCCGAGCATCATTCAAACCAGCCGAAAATCGTAAGATTTTCGGCTGGTTTTCTAGCATGCTCCTTAGACAAAAGACGTGCGACCGTACAGTAGGAACGGTCGCACGTCTTCATTCACACTGCACGATTCTCGTACGATCGTGGGATTTCCTGCGATTCTCGTACGAGAATCGTGCAGATGCTGGGATTATGGGCCTACTTCTAAAAATATTAGCTTCCTGATTGAATTAGATGACACTGATCTGAAACAAACATACAGCAAGTAAAGTCATAGGAAAGTTGGAATTCGGGATGAAGATACTTGTTGCAGATCAGTGCCTTAGAAAGTACTAAATCCATTGAATAAGCTTGACAGCAATGCAGATAGTATATTTAGAGCAAGAGCTCAGCGGTGGCAGCCTGAATATTCTCTCATTCCTCTTGGCTCTGTGTAATTTCTGTGGCAACGAACGTTGTAACATAGGCATTCAAAAATAGATGAAACCTTTTATTTTAAGTAACTTTTTCCCTCCATAGAGTCCAAGCCCTGCGTGATTCAGCATTGACCCTTGAACTGGAGAAAGAAAATATCATAGAGGTCATCCACAGTGTTCAGAACAGCCAGGATATGAGGAACATCAGTGACGGTAAGATGTGCTTACACAGTTCCACCACTTGAAATAGGAATATTTATCCTTAGTTTGCAGAAAAAATAGATCCACAACAGGTGACCATAGTTGGAGGAAAACCTGTGAGCCCGGAAACGGCAGCAGAACCGCCCCGCCAATAGAAAACAGTTGAGCGGAGCTAGCTGTCACTGCTAACTCCGCACAATCGTTTTCTATTGTTTTTTTTCTACTTTTTTAACTATTTTGCTATTCTGCTCGGTACCACAGAGGGACCGAGGAGAACAGCCGAGCCGAATGCCGGTCAGCGGCATTCGGCTATTCACTCACTGCTGTTCGGCATCTATGAGAATAGACCGAACAGCAGCGAGTAGCCTGCCGGAGGTTCGGCTTAGCCGATCCAGATGTTGGATCGGCTGAGTCGAACACCTTCTGCACTTCGGGTCGACCGAACATGCTGAGCATGTTCGTCCGACCCGAAGCCACCCGATGTACGGCTGAAATCAACCGTACAAACCTGAAGTGAATAGCCTAACAGCGTTCGTCTCACTTCACTTCGGGTCGGTTGTTCACTTAATGAATAGACCCCATAGTCTTCACCCTGTAGAGAATGGTGACTGTCAGTCATCTCTTCCTACAGGGATTCCCCCCTCTCCATTCCTCCAGCACTCATTGGAGGGACAGACAGGGAAGGGAGTGGGCACAGCTGGTTTTGGCTCTAGTGAGGCAGAGCCAGCTATCAACCAGGCAATGAGGTGGAACCCAACAATTATGTTGGTATAACTCCTGGCTGCAGCATGGCTCTGTGCTGTCAGCATAAAGATACAATATCTGCTGAGTTTAGATAATTGGTAAAAACTAAAGCCAAAAAAGGTTTTTCTTTTAATTCTGTCATTTTTTTTGGTCTGTCAATGAAATTGTGGAATAATGGAAAGTTAACACTGGATGCAAGTCACTCTCAAGTTTGGCTAGAGATTAACTTTAAAGTGACACTAAACTCAGAAGTTAACTCTTAAAAATGCATTCAGGTACCCTAACTATTAACAGTAGCTTATTTATGTATTACTTGAATGTAGATCTTACTTCTGGAGGATGGCTACTTTTGTTCCTCATGGCCTGTGTGTGTTGTAAAGTGGCCATCGCTCCAAGCTTGCTCCTGTGATGGACTACAAGCTCACATTTAGTTTACTAATTTGTATTGAGATTGTAGTCTATCACAGGAGCGAGCTTGGCGTTGTGGCTACTTTACAACACACACAGGGACCATGGGGAAAAAAGTGGCTACCCCAAAATGAAGGGCAGTGTCAGCACAGATTCATGGATGATTTGAGGATCTACAGCTGAGAAATGCCCAGAAAAGCTACAGCATTTTTAATATTTCAGGTACTTGAATGCATTTTTTAAGAGTTAACTCCTGAGTTTAGTGTCTCTTTAAAGTGAATCTCTAGCCAAACATTTGAATGACCTGAGTAAACTCCTGAGTTTAGTGTCACTTTAAGGATTTTTTGGTGAATACAATGTTCAATTAAAGACATTTCATATGCATAGAGATCTAATTGGTTTCATTTATATAGGAGAAAGAGAAGAACTAACAATAACAGCACAGAGGCTGATGGGTCGCGCAGTGACTGTAGAGGTGTGCGTGGAAACCATAAGAAACCCTCAGCAAGCTGCATCTCTGGAAAAAGCCACCAAGATGATTGATGACATTCTGAGGAAAGTCATGGACAACATGGAAAGTGGCAAGAACCAGCTGGTATCTTTGCATGGGGCATGTATTTCAGAAATTCCTTTAGGTCCAGTAGATCAGAAATTCCAGTCCATCATTATTGGATGTGCTATCGAGGACCAAAAGAAAATTAAAAGGAGACTTGAGACACTTATTAGGAACATTGACAGCTCTGAGAAGTCCATTACACTTCTGGAGAACCAGAAGCAGAAATCAGCTATTCAGCAGAATAAAATCTAACATACATTTGTCAATTTCATTTTGTCCACAGTGCACAATACTGTAGATTGAGAGCCAAGTTTAAATGTTTTCCTTTAAGAAGCTCAAGGTGTTGTTTAGATGGAATATTACCTATTGTCTGTACACAATAGAGAAGACATTTTGCTGGTTGAACTTTTCAAAGAATATCATTAGGGCGCAATTCTTTGACTTTAATAAAAACAATTGCCAATTACATACACATATGTATGCAGGAGCAATGTCTGAATAAGCTACACTGATACAATACTATGTCTATTTCATCTTTGTCATTTGTGCATCTGGATTGGAAACCAGGAAGGTGGAATACATTGTCATTCCTAACATAAACATTTAAAGTGTATTTTATGTCAAAATAAAAATAAATACATATGTAGCACATTTCTTCAATAAAAGCACATTTTCCCAAGGTGTTATCTCTTTAAAGACCCTGCATGAACAGGAAAATTCCAGTGGATGTGCAAGAAATCCAAGAAATACATTTGGGCCAAAATGTATTCTGCCACATTTATTTGGTACCAAAAACCCAAATAAGAGTATATTATTTAGATTGTAGACTCCCCAAAATATTTAATAAGAGGCATAGTGAGTATTTTGAAGATCTAAGTTTTTGCCACTTTTTTTTGGAAAATTAAGAAAGTACATTTTCAAGTTGTCATTTTAAGTTATCTATGGGCATACGTACAATTAAACCCCAAAACACATTTTGCTACTCTTCCTGTGCAGGAATCTGCCATATATATGAAACATTGTAACTGCCTAGCTGCATGGGGAAGAGGAGAGGTGCAAAATCCAAGTAACTTTTTGGCTTTCAAGCAGCATAAATCAGGCTAGGGATACACTGATACCGTTTTTCAGTATAAGTACGACTACCGATATTGATCTTTCGATACTCGCTGATCCTGAGTACCGATACTGGTACCTCCACTAGCAAGGAGCCAGCTTCCAGGGCAATCGGGAAGCCGGGCAGCGAGTCATTACCCGCTGACCCGGCTTCCTGATTGGCCGGGAAACTGGCTCTATGTTCCCTTGTGGCATTGCCCGTCAGAGGAAATCTCCCTCTAACCGGAAGTTCCGGTATCGGGGGTAAGTAACAGAGCATTTGGGCGAGTAGGAGTGCCCGCCCAAATACTCGGTATCGGCAACGATACCAATATCAATATCGGTGCATCCCTAAATCAGGCATTAGATTTCCTGACTACCTATCACATTTTTGGAGGCCCTGAAGAGCCAGGACAGTAGAAACGCCACAAATTTACCACATTTTAAAAGCAGGGAACCCAAGGTATTTGCTAAGAGGCATGGTGAGTCTTTTTAAGATATATTTTTTGTCAGATGTTTTGAAAAATACACAGTAGTAAAAAAAGGAAATGGAAATGATATTTTTTAAAGGATATTCCACATATACAACATGGGCATACTTAGAATTACACCCCAAAACACATTCTGCTACTCCTCCCGAGTATGGGGAATATAACATGTGTGAGACTTTCACAGCCTAGTCGCATTGAGGGCCCCAAAATCCAAGGCGCATCTTCGGGCTTTCAAAGGGCATAAATTAGACATCTGATTTCAGGACTACGCATCGCATTTTCGGAGACACTTAAAGTGACATTAAACCCTCAGATTTTTTAACATAAAACAATACTGTAATGTGTGCCTTACTGTAATCCATGGTTGTTTCCCTTCTCTTTGATGCTCTTCCTTTTAAATCTGTATCTTTTCTCATGCTTGGAGAGATTTTCCCTTTTAAGCTCAGGGCCTCTTCCTGTAGTGCTGGCTCAGGTTACAGCCTATACAAACGGATACACAGACACCGTGTGAGACAAGGCAGTCTGCTGAAAAGGGAAGTTCTCTCCAAGCATGAGAACAGATACAGATTTAAAAGGAAGAGCATCAAAGAGAAGGGAAACAACCATGGATTACAGTAAGGCACACATTACAGTATTGTTTTATGTTAAAAAATCTGAGGGTTTAATGTCACTTTAAGTGCCAGGACAGTAGAAACACCCACACATTGGCCACATTTTGGAAAGCAGACACCCCAAGGCATCTGACAAGAAGCATGGTGATTCTGTTAAAGATTTTATTTTTTGCTATACGTTTTTGGAAAATCAAGAAAAAAAAATGAATATGTATTTTTTATACAAGGTTATGATTTACTTCCCGCACACAGCATGAGCTTACTTAAAATTACACCCCAAAACACATTCTGCTACTCTTTCTGGGTATGGGGATACAATATGTATGAGGTGTATCTCAGAAATCAAACGACATAGGGGGAAATTCAATAAAGCATGTGCAACACCTTTCTGATGGTACGGTCCCTTAAAAACAGCCTGCACCTATTTTATGAAAGACTTGCGACAGTTTCAGTTCCAACATGCACTACCGATTCAGCTAGTTCTGATTACCACCACTTTAAGATCCTATCACTATGGCTGTGACAGAATCAAAAAGAATTATCACCAGTTTGCAGATTAGGAAACTGGCGGTAATTAGGACCAACTCTGATTTTGTTTATCTGGGCATGTACAGTTATGTGAAAAAGTGTTGGCCCCTTCCTGATTTTTCATTGTTTTGCATGTTTGTCACACGTTAATGTTTCAGATCATCAAACACATTTAAATATTAGTCAAAGATAACACAAGTAAACACAACATGCAGTTTTTAAAGGAAGGTTTTTATTATTAAGGGAAAACAAAATCCAAACCCACATGGCCCTGTGTGAAAAAGTGTTTGCCCCCTAAACCTAATAACTGGTTGGTCCACCTTTAGCAGCAAGAACTGCAATCAAGCGTTTGCGATAACTTGCAATGAGTCTGTTACAGCGCTGTGCAGGAATTTTGGTCCACTCATCTTTGCAGAATTGTTGTAATTCAGCCACACTGGAATGTTTTCGAGCTTGAACCGCCTTTTTAAGGTCATGCCACAGCATCTCAATAGGATTCAGGTCAGGACTTTGATTAGGCCACCCCAAAGTCTTCATTTTGTTTTTCTTCAGCCATTCAGACGTGGACTTGCTGGTGTGTTTTGGATCATTGTTCTGCTGCAGAACCCAAGTTCGCTTCAGCTTGAGGTCACGAATAGATGTCCGAACATTATCCTTCAGGAGTTTTTGGTAGACAGCAGAATTCATGGTTCCATTTATCACAGCAAGTCTTCCAGGTCCTGAAGTAGCAAAACAGCCCCAGACCATCACACTACCACCACCATATTTTACTGTTGGTATGATGTTCTTTTTCTGAAATGCGGTGTTATTATTACGCCAGATGTAATGGAACACACACCTTCCAAAAAGTTCCACTTTTGTCTCGTCAGTCCACAGAGTATTTTCCCAAAAGTCTTGGGGATCATCAAGAAGTTTTCTGGCATAACGGAGACAAGCTTTTATGTTCTCAGTAGTTCGGGAAGTGAGCAAACAAATACCGGCGTTTGCTCACTTCTTGATCCTTTCACGGCTCTCTGCCGTGACAGGGGAGGGACTGGATTCCCCCCTCCCCGCTCCGATCCTCCAGCGCTGACTGGTGGAACAGACGGGGAGGGGGCGGGTACAGCTGGCTCTGCCTCTAGATAGGCAGAGCCAGCTGTCACTCACGCAGCTGGGCAGATCCATACATAATTGTTGGGAGCCGCTTCAGCTGTGGCGTCTCAGTATACCGCGAGCTGTAGCTGGCGGTATACTGAGCTTAGAGTGATGGGAGGTTTGTGTCCTCCCGTTACCCTAAGGAGAACTATGGGGAAAAGCCTTAACCCCATAGTTCTCCTTTAAAAATCACTTTTTGAACAGGTGCAGATATAATTACAATGCGGCTTTTACCAATACTCTCCTAAAGATTGCAGTTAGTAATCTGCTGAATCCTATGTTTTATATTGTAAGTTAGAGACAGATTTATTGTCTGTAGGCAATTTGGCAAAATTTAATAGAATATCTGCACCTGTTTCAAAGTGCTCCTTAGCACTTCTTAGCTCTTTGAAATTATTATGCAACTGCTTTAAGAAATATCCATCAATAAGTCCACCTGCCTGTATTTTACATTCAACGGAGGGTACTAAAGTGGTTGAACTGTACTGAATTATTCCCACTACCTGCCAGGTGGCAGCCTTGCTGACTTTATTGTGCCTGCTACAACAAACAAAGTAAATGTGTTTTTTCTGGTTCCCTACGCTGAAACCCCCTATGCACACTATATGTAGTACATATATACAGCACACACCTCCACTACACTCCAGCAATAGAGTTACAATCCTCCACTGCTAACATGAATAGGTTAAACCATGATCCATAGTACATAACATGTAGTTGTACTATGGATCATTTAAAGTCACCTGTCCCTTTAAGAAAAAGTATCGGTAATTGGTATCGGCAAGTACATGAGGGGATGTACTTGTACTTGTACTTGGGCCTGAAAAAGTGGCATCGGGACATCCCTAGTACAAAGTATAAAATCAAAGGCCATATTCCCTGCCACACCTCCAGTGAGGCAGATCACAAAGAATTAATATGCAAAAACTGCAAAAGACCCACAAGTGCATCTTTTCCACAATTTTTCTCCTGTATACTGGCATTGTAAAATAATAAATGTAATAATTTAGAGGATAGGTAAAGGTTAAGTACAGTAAAACTCTTTTGAAAGATTTTTTTATTTTTTTGCTTGCGATATTTACATCAGACCAACAAGAGGGACATCGAAAGAGACAGAGTTATTCGGTTCAAAAGAATGATAGTCCCTACCAAAGGAGGACTGGGAGGTATGTGCACATCAGTATATTATTA